TAATAATATATTTATATATATATAATATATATATTATATATATAAATATTAAAAATAATGAAGATTTTCTTTCTATGATAAAAATATAAATAAAAATTCTCTACATATTATAAAACAAATATAATTAATAACATATATTATATATGGATAGGTGGTAGGAAAATTAAAAAAAATATTATAAATTTACATTTATAACTTTCTAACAATAATATATTTTAAAACATATTGTCAATGGGTGGATAAACATTATAATACATAAACTATATTTTAAAATATAAGATAAATATTTTTTGTATGTTTTCTTTGATAATTGTATTTCTGTAATCCCATATCATTCTGATGTCAATTTAAACAAAGTTTTTCATTATTTAAATAAAGAAAAAGAAGAAATGGGATTTCAGAATTATCAGTTTTAAATTAAAATATTATTTAAAAAATGTATATATATTCTATATACATAATGTATAATGTATTTAAAAAAAAAATATTTATATGTAAATATCAATACATTGTAGAATTCACAAAAATTATATTAACATTATAATGAATTTAATTTAAATTAGTTATAATAATATAAATTATATCATCTATATTAGTACTTATATTTATTAAAATTATATTTGATTGTATTATATTTTGATTAAAAATTTATCAAATTAGATATATTCTATTCTTTATATTTATATATAAATAAATATTTATTATTAAAAAATTATAGAAATTTTCGTGAATTCTTCAATGATTTTATTCAAAAAAGTAATTTCTTAAATAATAATTAATGATAAATAAATATGTTTATCATTGTTCAATTTTTATAGTTCAATTACTTATTTTACTTATTTAATCTAATTGTGCAGTTTTTTTTAATAATAATCTAAATTTAATTATAGAATACATGCGGTGTATATATGTAATAAAAAATAGCAATGTTATAGAATATTGCAACATATGCATTTAATAATTGCAATTGCTTTAGGAATATATTGATTTGTGTGCATGTTGGAATTACTGTTATGTTCTTTTAAATTGCAAATCTAACAAGTGATTGACTATGAATAATACTTCCCTGTATCTGAATTTTTTTTTGATCTTTCTAACAACATTAAAATTTATAAAATTCACCGCAATGTTTCTGTAATTAAATTCATTAATTAGTTGCACTTAATATCTAAATCATATTATTATTCAATATTATATGCATATGTTTATTTTATAAATAAATAACATTAAAAAAACATTATTTTATCAAAAATATTATAAAATACTAAAATGTAATAAAATAATTCTTTCTAAAGTGCCTTTTAGTTATAATAAATTATTATAATATTAAAAACTCTGATAACAATTTAGTAGTTTAGTTAGCTTTTGAGAATAAAACAAAAAAAATTAATTACATTTTATATAAAAACAATTTCTTTTATGATTGTTATTGTAATATATATATATTTATAGGCACTTTCTACAATTTTAATTGAATATTTTTAAAATGTGCAAATTAGAAATAAAATTTTTAATAATTTTTTTATTAAAATTCTATTAAATTTTTTTTATTAAATTTGTATATAAATGCTAAAAATATGTCTTTTTTAAATAGTAAATCATTAACCAAAAAAATTGAATAATTAATTAAAGAATAAATTATATATATTTATATATGTAATTATAAGCACATACAGTTTTATTATTTTTTTGAAGTGGTTATGATAAAATTGTCATATTTTAATAATAAAAATTGTGTACCATGATTAATATAAAGTGCAGTTTGTAATCTAAACAGCATTTGTTTTGTTTCTTGATTTATTATACATTTATTGCTCTAAATAGATTTGTAAATTGATAGATTAATTGCATATTGTATTATTGTAAATTGATAGAATAATCACAGAACGTGATATTTGTTTTAAGTAACTTTTAATGTAATTAATATTTTAATTTTTAAATGGGAATGAAATCATACAATCTAATAAGTTATCATAGAAGAATTTT